CCATAAGACTTCACAATTGGTACGACCAGTGCTGCCCATTCTACAATCTGGACTGGTTTGATGATTCCTTACTTTCCAGCCTCCTCATTTCTGTCTCTACTTTTGCCCGAAAGGGAAAAGGTGCTGGGCTGGCCTCGCAGAATCATGGAATTTCTTCCTGGTCAACATGCAAGGTGGCTTTGCCTCCTTTGATAGTCCCTAGACCTTCCTGAAAATCTTCCGAGTATTTAATAGCACTTCACGCAGGTAGTCATTTTCTAACTGAAAAATGTTGAGCCAACCCAGGTGAATTTCGCCCATTATGCTTTACTGCAATCAGTGGTAACTGAACTAGCTGCCTCTCATAAAAGACCAGAGCCAAAGTTGTACCCTTAATCTGTAAAGGTTCCCTGGTGTAGGCTCTCGGTCCAGCCGAGGTCTTGCACAAACTTGAGGATCAGAGTCCGGAGCAAATTGTGTTAAAGACTGTTCGTGCAATCACTGAAAGGTTGCACAGTTATCGACCTCCATTAGAAGCCAATGACCATTTAAACAGATGTTTATTTTGATTGGTTATAATTTAGATGTTGCTAAGTAATTTAACTGTTCCAAACCAGATGTAGACTGACTTTCTAGGGTATGCACTCTCCTGTATATTGGCCTATGAGTCGTCTTACTCAATTTAGATCCAGTGGGATTCTTTTACTGTCTTGAGTCTGCATACTGGCAATAGCACAATGGCTTGCCGGATCCTGAAGAAAATTTTAACCGTTTGGTTGAGGCTTGGCTTTGTGACAGGGTTTTGCTGTGGGTTGACCTAGAGTCCCATGTTTATAATTGCAATTGCCTTCACTCAAGTGGTGTCCACCAAGCTCAGTTGGACTGGCGAGAGTGTCCACTTCCATTGGCATACTATGTAACCTGTAACCTTGCTGCATTTTCGAATGATAAAGCCTGTTGTAGTGGCTGTTTGAAGTCCTGTTGGACTTCAGCTACTAGGGACTTCTGCATGGTTACATCATTAAACTCATACTAAATGGTCTCTCAGCATCTCATTAAGGGTTAAACCAAAGTCACATGCATCTGCCAGTCACCTTAACGTAATCAAAAATCCGAACACGGATTCCCCTGGCTCTCGAAAGGCCGAGTAAAACTGACAGCATCTCAGAATTAGAGGCGGCTTGGGGTCATAATATTCCTTAACTAAATCCGTCAATTCTTGAAAGGTTTTAGTATCTGGCGCTTCAGGGAAAGTCAGGCTCCTAATAACCAAAAAAGCTGCAGGTCTACAAACTGTCAGGAGAATTGTTGCTTTTCATCTGTCCCATTGTCATTTGCCTGGAAAAGATAACACATTCTTTCCACATACTGAGCTCAGTCTTCGATGGCAGGACCAAAGAACTCAAGCTTCCCAAATAACAGCTTGGCGCCAGAAATGTTTATCCTAACTAAAAGATGACTGTTGCGAGCAATTTTATTCAGGAGCGTGCTCTTCTCTCGTTACCATTGAAATAACTCTCCAAAGGCCAGTATCCTGTCACCAAGTCACCCTTTATTTACATGTGGAAAATCCTTAACACTGATCCAGCTCCCTTAGAGCCACTCTCAGAGAAAACAGGATGTCTGACACTCCTGTTTATATCTGTCAGACAGGGCTCCCTGATTGGACCAGATTAACAGCACCACTTGGCTGACCTTGTTACAATCACTACACTAAGTGCATCTAGTGTTTGCAAATGATTTTGTCCAGCCATATTTTTTGCTATCCTTAAGCAGAATTTTGACCTTATATATTCTTGAAGAGGGCCTTTTGAAAACTTAGTTGTATACTGAAGCTGCAACGAGGTTCATTATCTAATCAGGCAGCTCAGCCTCTGAAAGAATTACAGTCCTCACCCTTGTTACTGCACCTACTGATAAGCTGCTTAACTGACCGTTTTGTTCCAGTCTCCTGTGATTTTCGAGCTTGCATTACTGCCTTATTTTTTAAAGAAAAATCACCAGTGTTGCACACCATATCATATTTTCAGCAGTTATTGATAGCATAGCTGGGTAGCCAGGATTCAGTTTATTGAAAGGTTCAAATATGTTTATTAATAACTCAGACTACAATTTGGGGATATAGATACTACGTCAGCAACCTCCTGCTAGAATGTGTTTTGTTGGACTTCACATAATCATGTGCTTTACATTCCAATTCTTGATTTATTAGCCTCTGAAAGCAACACAGCTTTTAAAGCAATAATACAACAGCTAGGGAATAGAGCTCACATGAAAATCTCATTAAAAGGGGTTCAAACACGGAGTTATAGGAAAGATTGGCAGAGGCCTGGCAGGCAACAATGCATGCAAGGATTTTGGAGATTGTGTGACAATTTACAGGGATAGAGGGCTCAAAATGGCTGTTTTCAATCAGGAAGGTGATGACGGCAGATTTGACAGGGAGTTGGCCAATGAGGAGTGGGAATTGGTATCAGTACCAGCTACCATGGTAATCAGGGAAGGACACTAGCGTGTAAATAGTATGAGAAATAGAAAATAGTGGGAGTCCAGAGAAACTTGGGGAAAGTTGCGTCTGGTAGGATCAGGAGGAAGAGATTGAGGCATCCTAATGGATAGATGGCAATGTTAGTGATAAAGCAGTCAATGAGCTTTTTGTGCATTTTGCAGATGAGCCTTGGACAGTCAGTGGAAAGACTCTTCCAAAGATAGTTTGCACAGTGTAGAGAAGCTCTGGGCTATCTTTCCATTCCACAATGATCCTGAAAAAGAGATTAATTTTGGCAGTCCAGAGAAGGATCCAACTGTGCTTTCTCTGGCCATAAATGTTCAAATCTATGCCTCTCAAAATATTTTTCTCTCTCAACCATACTTTGCCACCTATGTCTTTCTATTCAAACAAACATTGTTTGTGGAAGCTTTCAGTACCTTGGCTTGAAGGCTGTTAATCATAATGAATTACTTTGACTGTTTGCCTCCACATAATAAAAACATTCGTGGCTGCACTTAAAAAAGAGACTGTTCCATATAGGGAACAGAGTACTTTTTTCTGTTGTTTGAAGATTAATAGAAATTGCTAATAAAAAAAAGTCAGTCTATATTGGATTTATGTTTGGGAACTGTGGCTCTACTTGGCAATTCTAAGTTAACTGCTACAAAATTATATTTCAGCTTTCTACTGATTGTTACTACTTTCTACCCATTCCTACATTTTCAGGAAATTCCAACCCTGCATTTTCCAGTTATTCAAAACATTTGCAATTTTTTTAAAAAATAGTTATGTTAAAACCAAAATTGTACTCGAGGTCTTTGACTCTAAGCCCATTAGGAAGAAACCCACGTTTTAGGATGACACAAGAAAATACAGCTAAATTTCACTGCCAAAACGTGCCCAAAAACCTGTAGTAACTTACAAATTTAGTGTAGAAGCGATCACTCAGGGAGGGGGCGGGGAGAATTATACTTTTGGGAGTTAGCTAAAAGGCACGGACAGCAGGCTGATGAAGGGTCAAAGTGGGAAATGCAGTCGGCCTGATACTCAGGAAGCAGGAAGCGAATGGACTGCAGTAGGTACCGAGAGAGAGAGAGAGTTGCTCAGTCCTGCTGCAAGTAAACGCCTGACGGTGAAAGGGAAAGAGTGCAGCCGGAAGGTCACCTTGCAAACAAACAAAAGGCGAAAAAAAAAACCCAAAAGAACTGCGCTGGACCGTAGTGGGGCCCCCTCCCCCATAAATCACAAATAAATAAGAAATTGCAATGAAGTTTCTTCTTGTTCGTTTATAAGTCAGCCAGCTCTCCTCCGGCCGGAGGTGACAGAGACAGAAGGGGGAATAAGAGGGGAAGGCATGTTTGTAAATTTCCACTTTTGGATTACTCCTGCTCCTTGCACTTTCATTGTTATTCTGCCAACTATAACACGCTGCATTGGCGACGGTTCGGGGCGCTCCAATTCGTAAGCTTTTCGACAAATGGGCCAAACCATCAGCATTTCTGACGGTCTGTTCTCTCTGAGACACACACATTTAAATGCTGCTGAGAAACACTCACCCACGGCCCGCTGTAAACTCACTCGCTCCTCCTCCATCGCCCGGCAGTTCGGGGCACACAGTGAAATGAAAGGGGAAACTCCTCCTTTTGGCACAGCGCCGTGTGTCTGTGAGTCTCTATCTCTCTGCTTCTGATGGCGCTGGCTTCCTCAATCCCTCTTCAAGAACATGTGCAGATCCATCAGCTTTCTCGCGAGGAGACATTGCCGTCTGCAATCATCAGAGGCGGAACGAAACGTGTAAGAGAGCAGCCAATTCACGAACCCCCAAAAGCACATCTCATTTCCGCCCCACCCCATAGACACTATCCCAAAATACTCCAATACAGCTGTACTCGTAAATACACCCCCAGACATACATCTATCCTTCAAATATACAGCTACCCTCAAATACATAATTATCATCTCAATATACAACGATTGCAGAAAAC